GCAAGATTCCATGTTTGAAATGAACTCCAGTGAGGAGATGGCTGAATATGGAGAGGAAATCACTTATCCAAACCAAAGAAATTATCTCCAGGGTCAGACAATGTGATGTTAGGAATTAGGAGTCACCAAAGATGCTGAAAACTTCCTTGGTCATTATGTCTGTAAAGGCAGCAATGAATTTGCAGGATTTTTGTTTGTTGTTTAGTAAATAAGCAATGAGAGTAATAAATCTGTTACACTAGTTTACCTATGTTTCTTCTGTGTTTCATGATTCAAGATTCTAATGCATGATCTGTGGGGACACAGTTCCAGATCAAAGTTGACTTTTGGCTGGGAGTTGGGGGGTTACTGGGACTTGAACCCAGGGGCCCTATAACAAACACTGAGCTACATATCCAGTCCTTTATTTTTAAATTTTTTTGAGAGAGTCTTGCTAAGTTGCTGCAAACTTGAATTCATCCTGCCTCACCCTCCCAAACTGCTGGAATTACAGGCATATGCCATCTTGCCCAACTTGATCCTACTTCTTTAGACAGATGATCCTCTGCCTTTGTTCCTCCACATCTTGATAAATTTTTATGTCCCTTAAAATAACTGCAGTAGAATAGCTCATGTTAAAAACAGAAAATTATGAGACCAATACCATTATTACCTGTACTGTTATTTTGTTGTTTAAAACACAAAATGGTGTACTTGAATTTTCATTAAGCTAATTGTATTCACTCTCCAAGCAAGTACAGTAAAGTATCAAGAGTTGAAAATTAGATGAATATATTCCTTTTCTCAAGATTTTTAAACTTCGTTCAGCTCCTCTGTTATCTATCTCCCTGAAATTTCCTCCAAGCCATTGCATAAGTAGTTATTCCAACTGTTGCTGATCCTTAATTCTCGACATAAATGTCATTCCTAAGAAACTTCCTGGAGTATAATGAAACCCTTTCCCCAGGGACAGGTGTGCCCATACTTCCTTTGCTTTTATAATATACCACAATATTTAAATATCTAATTGTCAGTTTTCCAAGCCTGCTTTATGCTCTGTTGAGAGCAGGGTCTTTGCTTATTACCCTTAGAATCTAGGAATCACAAGTTCCTTTTATTGAATGAATTATGAAATAACAAACTTATGAAGTACTTAAGGAATTAGATTGCCCCCTTTAATTATATCCTCACCCATGTTTATATTTACTTGAATTGGAAATACCATCAATTGAAAAATGCACCAATATTTTATGCACCACTAAGATAAGCACTATCAATCCAATATATAATTAATAGATTGCCAGATGCATCCTAGTTTCAGAGATATTGAAATGTGGGGAAAATACACATCTGAAAATTACAATCCATAATATAAAGTATATCTACATGGAAATTTCTTCTTACACTTGAAAACTACACCTTAAGATTTCAAAGAGGCTAATATATGACACCCTTTCCGTGAACACTGTTTCTGTCCTTTTAGTTCTCTTCCAGGGTCAAGTTTGTATCTGACTCAGGGAATAATAATAATACCAGCAGCCTCACAAGTTCCCATAAACAAAGCTTCCTCTGAATATCTACTTTTAGAAGGGAGCTTTAGGAGAAAGATGACAATAAGAAGTAAAGAATGTTCCAGCTGTACAGAATCAATGACTCTAGCTTTAGAAAATTAACTTTATCTTTTGTCATGGTGCTTCACTAGGGTTTGCAATTGTGTAAGGGCCTAATTTTAATCTAATCTTTTCTGACTTAAAAGGGTAATTAAAAAGTTAACCAAATTTTAAAGGGAAATTCAAATGCACACAATGATTGGTGTTAAGAATTCACTGTAAGTCCCAAAACTATAATACTGTTTTACCCGAACAGCAGATCTCTGTAAATAAACAAGAGAAAAATCTGAAATAACAAAAAATCATTATAATTAAAATATCAATAAGAGTGAAGACATATGCTTTTGCATATGAAATATATGAGTTGCTTAAATGAATGCAAATTTTAAAATCACATTAGAATATCAAATGGTTATAGTAGCTTACATATTTTATTATAAATCATGTACTGTTACTACAGGTTAAATGTACTTTCAAAATTTCATCAACTAGACTTTTAATTTGCCGTATACTAAAGTCTGACAATATGTGGATATTAATCAGTCTTTAAAACTGTTTGTATTATGTTTCATTTTAATAGTTTTTGCAAAATGATAGTATAATGCATAGGAATACATATAAATAGACACACACACTTTTTTCATTGTATTTTTATTTGATAGTTTTGTATTGTTTTGTTACAATTGCAAGTAAGCATTTTCAATCAATTTAGATAGTAAATGAATACAAGTTCCTTTTTTAAAAAAAAGGTAATAGTAAATAAGTACAAGTTCCTTAAAAAAAAAAAGGGAAACTTTCCCTTTTCCCTCTTCCCTTTTGCCTAAATTAGCTGAATAATCCTCACGTACACCTTTCTAGTTTTGCTTGAGGAAGTCACATGGGAGACTTTGTAATATCTGAGGTTTGTACATTTTCTCTAAAGAAACAATTCCATTTAACACTAGATATTCATAATCTGAGTTTTGACTACTTATAAATTCTGTAAAGATAACTTTCCAAATCATGTATATCAAAACTAATTACCATTATAAATTATTTTAAAATATATCAAGACTTTTTCCTTAAGATGCATATAAATCACCATTTTCTTATGCAAGCATAGATATCTCAAAAACTAGGTTTACAGAAACTTACCTTATGCATAATCTTCTTTTAAAATTCTTAGTAACATTATAAAACAGAATATACTTTCTTAATTTTAAGATCAAGTGATAGACAATTTAAAAGTTCTGAATTGAAGGAAAACTAGTAACCACTCATTCTTTCATATAATGTATACGATTATCATTGTGTTAGGTTCTAGGAACACAAAGACAAATAAAAGGAAGTTTCTGCCCTTAAGAGACTCAGTCTGGAAGAAGCAATATGGGAGGGGCTCCCAAGGTGCTTTATGAAGAGAAATGAAGAGTTCAGGTTTGTGTTGCAGGAAAGTAAGCCTGGCCAAAAACAAACAAACAAACAAACAAACAAACAAAAAACAGAACAAAAGCAAACAAGATGGAGACAAAAAAAATTTATACAGTACCTACTATGACATTGTGCTGAGCACAAGGTGTTCAAACAAGATTTCAGTTCTCCAGGAGCCCATAATTCCTGCCATTCTCATAAAAAAAACATTTCTGACATATTATTATAATAGGAAGGACTGTATTCCAATTCACCAATTAGGTGCATGAACAATTTCACACAGAAGGGTGAACCTAAGGTTTAGAAAGGAGGTGCTAAAATAAAGAAATGCACACAAAAGATTATCCATTAGGAAATTACCAAATCACTTATGCTTCCAAGGCTGAATAACTATGATCATGTTAAAGTGAATCCTCACCCCTGGCTTGTCAGATTTCTAACTTTAATCTAGGTATTCTTAGAGATTTATCATAGTACCTTACCTGTTTATAGAGCTCTTCAATTTACAAAGTATTGAAATATCATTAAAACCACATACTAATCGTCAAATGGGAGAAGCAGAACAAATTACCTCATTTACAATATAGAGAAAAGTTTGGGTTTATGGAGGTATGAAATTTAACTCAGGTCTGCAGATTGTTGGTATACATAGTTTAACTTGAATCAGTCTTTTATCACTAAAATGGACCTTATAAAGATTCAAAGTTAAAAGATAGCATGAAAATTGAAAAAAACATGTTAGGTGAGATTATAGGTAGTATTTAATTTTTTTACATGTTGCAGCATAATTTTTACAGTTACAATGATTTTAATTATTGAATCCAATTCCCTCAATTCCCAAGTAAAGGAAATTGAGTTTTAGAGGCTGAGTACTGCCAAAAGTTACAATAAAAACAACTGAAGGGTAAGAACCACAATTATCTTGACTTCTACCCCACTTCTCCTCCAGTGTCTCAAAAACAAAAACAAAACAAACTTTTGGAGATACCCACTCTGACTTTTTTTGTCTTCTGGAATGATTAATATAAACAAGTCATTATAGGAAAAACAAATATAATTAAAGTTACTGATATAAAGGTTTTATTCTCAAAAAGGCAATAAAACTATAATTTTAAGCAACAGAGCTTGTCTTTTATCATAATTTTGCTTATTTTGTAAAAAAAATGAAAATAAATGAATTTTTAACCATAGGAGTTTTAAAATTACCATTATTAAGTGAACTAAAGTAGATAACAATATGAGGTGTTTGAAAATAATGTTAATATAGTTGCCACACTTTACATTCTATCCACCTAGCTTATTATGCAGGTATGAGTACCTACTACATGCAGAGAACTTTTCAGGGAATAGTGGAGTAATACAATGATGAAACCATCCAGAACCCAATAAGAAAGACAAGATATGCGTTCAAAAAGCTATGATGCACAGTTTCAAGCTGATTTTAACTGACCTTATAGATACATAGGATTTATGGAAACAGGAAAGACAAGAAGTTCTATTTATGCAGAACAGATGAATGAGTTAGCAAAGTACAAAGTTCCTAGGATGTATAGGGAACAAAGTTACTGTCAAGGTGTGCTCTTAAGAGCCCCCTAAGGGTATAAATGGGAAATAAAGCTTTTTGAGGCCAGAGTATTGATGCTTGAAACTTCAAGAATTTGGGATTTAATTAGGAACTAGAATCCAAAATATCTCAAAATAAAAGTGTAACAATGACCAGTCTAGTTATATTAAGCCATACACAAAACTTTAGAGAGAACATCTGTTCATTCAACAATAAGCTCAAGTTACTTTTTAAAAAAAGAAAAAGTTCTAAGCTGTTGCAGATATCCCAGATCAAATAGCAATTCCATGAAAAATGCTGTGTATTCAATCACTGTGGCATATTGATATTTAAAAAGATAGTCCAAAATCTTATATCTTTAAAAAAAGCCATGAAATTAAGATTTCATGTGTTTTATATAGGTTTTAAATGCAGAAAGTTGTACACTTTTATAGAATATAAAATATAATATCCTATAAAATACAATATATTTGTTAAAGATTATCATGATGATGTAAGCTAGGCAAAGGAAAACCATGTGGAAAAGAAAAATATGATTTTAAGAAGTAATAAAAGCAGAGGAAGATCTAGAGCCTTTCAAAATTTCTAGGCAGACTCCCACACTATGGGCCTTTATATAGAGAGTCCAGCAGGCCAGAATTTGAATACTAGTTATGTGATCTTTAACACATGTCTCAACTTCCCCATGATTTATTTTCTTCTATAAATTTAAAAGGACAAATATTTACCTTACAGGCAAGGCTTAGAAAGAGCATAGGAAAGCACTTGGTGAATATTCAGTGACAGCTCTTCAATAAAAACCTATTCTGTACCGACCATTGTGATTCTGTGGTTTTTAATCCTTGGCAAATTAAAGTGCTAGATGAAGTATATGCCCATTGGTGATCAAGGAGCATTTCAAAGCCCACAGCTCAAATTTATCCTCCCCACATAAACATATTCCCATAAGCACATATGTATACTTTCACTTTAAGGAATTAGGAATTCTAAGTTAATGAGATCCTTTTAAATGGTAAAATGTCCTTTGGAAAGGCAATCCACCTTCATGCTTTGGTGTGACCAGTTCCTTATTTAGTGAAAAATTACTGGGTTCTCTTGGAACTGGAGGAAGAAGGCAACGTGCATTAGGAACTTTAGAATGATAGGAAGAAAAGATAGGGTGAAGGGAAAATACAGTTGGGAAGAAACCACCAAACAAATAATGGTTCTACCTTGTATGAGAGTCTTGGTAAGGGACCCTTTTCTCCCCTGAATGTCTCTGAGGAAGATAAATGACACTTGAGTTAAAATTATCAAGGTTTGTACCAAAACCAGATTCTTCCTTTTTATCTCTGTCTCACCAACAGTGAGCTCCACCTTAAAATACATAACACAAAAGGAAAGATCCTGAGAAAATGTGTGGAGCACTTTTCTGCTCTCCATCTTAATTCTCAAGAAAACTGTGGTGAATTTTTTCCTACTTGTTGGTCTTCTTCAGAGTCAATCCCGCTCCCACTCTCCAACTTTAAAAGTGGCAGTCTTAATGATTTTCTTAACATTGATTCTGTAGCTATTCATTCTGTGTCAGTCATAAGCAGTAGATCAGTTTATCTCCAAATCCCATATCCTCTGCCTTTAGCCTAGCTTTGGCAGTGAAGCTGGCGTGCTAAACTACTGCTACCATCCCCCACCCTAAACATTTCAGACTGCTGACTGCCAACTTTGGATTCTGGGATTCCCAGGACGTCAGGTCAAGCCACTGAGAAGTCCACCCAGGGGTAAATTCCACACATAGTTTCTTCTCGCTCTCTCTGGGATCAGTGCTTTAACATCTGGGTTAATTAGATGGTGCAGACTCGGGTAACTAAGCGCAGAAAACAGCTGGGCACGTTGCTCAAAACCCAGACGCAATCGTTTAGAAATCGCTTCTGGAAATACCGGCTCTAATAGGCGTGTCACGTCTCAATGCGGACAAGGATTGAGCAAAACCGAGCATAATTTGGAACTTTGGGGGCTAAGTCCGCAACTTTTGAGACCTCCTTTTACTGTCAGATCTAAGTTTTGAAACTGGATGTCCGCCAAGTGAGGACCGCTGAGCGTCACAAACGCGCCCAGCTAAAAATATATATTTGCACTCACGTATTCAATTCTTCACAACAGGAATGAAAGGGAAAACTTAGCATGTCCAAGTTCAGCGTTAAAACAAAAGTACCGCCACCAAAGATCCCGTGCCCCTTCTGAAGAAAGTTAATGCCAAGGAGCACCAACCGCTCACTACGCCTGCGCAGGCCAACCGCGGCCCCGCCTCTCCGTTGAGGACGTAAAACGTGCGCCGGGCGGTGGGAGGCGGGACGCGGACTGCGCATGCGCCCTCGTTGCGTCAGCCACTTGCTGGGAGCTGACGGCTGCAGCCTCGAGAGGTTCGTGTTCTCTGCTGTGTCTCCTGGGCTCGTTCGTCGGGCCGCGCGGGGAGACTAAAACCGGAAGGGCTAGAGTAAGTGCCCCCTCGGCTGCATGAGTCAGAGCTACAGTATTTCCTTCCCTCCGGGCAAGTGACCATAGAAACTGGACCCCGCCCCCTTCCCGGCCTAGACTCCCTTCCCCCTACCCCTTGCCCCTTTCCCTTTGGGGACCCCCCCAGTTCTTCTTGTTCTGTTACTGAGCCTCAACTAAGGTCATGAAGCTGGTGAGGAAGGATATTGAGAAGGACAATGCGGGTCAGGTGACCCTGGTCCCCGAGGAGCCTGAGGACATGTGGCACACTTACAATCTAGTGCAGGTGGGCGACAGCCTTCGCGCCTCCACCATCCGTAAGGTACAGACCGAGTCCTCCACAGGCAGCGTAGGAAGCAACCGGGTCCGTACAACTCTCACTCTCTGCGTGGAGGCCATTGACTTTGACTCTCAAGCTTGCCAGCTGCGGGTCAAAGGGACCAATATCCAAGAGAATGAGTATGTCAAGATGGGGGCTTACCACACCATCGAGCTGGAGCCCAACCGCCAGTTCACCCTGGCCAAGAAACAGTGGGATAGTGTGGTTCTGGAGCGCATTGAACAGGCCTGTGACCCGGCCTGGAGTGCTGATGTGGCAGCGGTGGTCATGCAGGAAGGTCTCGCCCATATCTGCTTAGTCACTCCCAGCATGACCCTCACTCGGGCCAAGGTGGAGGTGAACATCCCTAGGAAAAGGAAAGGCAACTGCTCCCAGCATGACCGGGCCTTGGAGCGGTTCTATGAACAGGTGGTTCAGGCCATCCAGCGCCACATAAACTTCGATGTTGTAAAGTGTGTCCTGGTGGCCAGCCCAGGATTTGTGCGGGAACAGTTCTGCGACTACATGTTTCAGCAAGCAGTGAAGACTGACAACAAAGTTCTCCTAGAAAACCGGTCCAAATTCCTTCAGGTAAAATGTTTTTACTCAGAGATAGTTAAGAATGGGCAGAGGGATTGGTATAAACTGCTCCTAAAGTTTTAAAACTGGGAAAAGTGAAAGAGGAGAAACTCAACTTAGCTGGGATTGTAAATGAAGTAATGAAAAGAGAACTGCTCAATATCTAGCATATTTAAATAATAAACTTTGCTGAAGTCCACACACACACACACACATATGTATCCTTGTTAATTCTTTAGACTTTAGGTAAACATGGAGTGCTTAGTGGATGCTTTCAGAGATTCTTTTGTCTTTTATAATTGTGATTCTAGGTACATGCCTCCTCTGGACACAAGTACTCCCTGAAAGAGGCCCTTTGTGACCCTACTGTAGCTAGCCGCCTTTCAGACACTAAAGCTGCTGGGGAAGTTAAAGCCTTGGATGACTTCTATAAAATGTTACAACATGAACCTGACCGAGCCTTCTATGGACTCAAGCAGGTGGAGAAGGCTAACGAAGCCATGGCTGTTGACACATTGCTCATCAGCGATGAGCTCTTCAGACACCAGGATGTAGCTACACGTAGCCGGTATGTAAGGCTGGTGGACAGTGTAAAAGAAAATGCGGGCACTGTTAGGATATTCTCTAGTCTTCATGTATCTGGGGAACAGCTCAGCCAATTGACTGGAGTAGCCGCCATTCTTCGCTTTCCTGTTCCTGAACTTTCTGACCAAGAGGATGATTCCAGTTCTGAAGAAGATTAATGATTGAAATTTATAGTTGAGACAACCTTTTGTCTCACTTCATTAATATATATATTTTTTTCAGCATCCTTTGAGAGAAAGCTGCAAGATGGGCACTTTTGGGTTCATACTGGAATTTCTCATGTATTTGATCACACTAGATATTTTATAGTTCTCAGAACATGTATTCAAACTAAACAATAAACTTTAATGAAATAAATTCCATGTTTTATATTTATTAATTAGGATAATTTTACTTGTACTTGGAAAAAAATTTTTATATCTAATAGGAATACTTATTTTGGGCATAGATCATAAAATATCATATTGCATACTTTGAGTTAGTTTTCCTTATAAAAAAAGCTATATTCTCTCATTATCCTGAGTTTTTATTATTCATTTTAATTTTGCCTGGTATTTTTGCATTGCATTTAATGATTCCTTTTTTACCCACCTCCCGCACATACTCCATTTTTTTAGACTTACATGCATTTCCTCTTTTAATTGATAACCAATTAGTAAACTTTGAAGACAAGTTTAACATGCTATTTTTCTTCAGAGATTTGTTAAATTAATCATGTTAGAAAAAACTCTTGTGCTTTTTCATTGTTAGACTAAATCATACTTGCTTTAGAGGAATACTTAATCAGTCATTTTCAGATCATGGAGTTAATAGTTAATCTCTTTGGAGACTCAATTTTTTTAAATAAGACTAAGATAAGTGCCTTGGTTGCTAACTAGTGACAAACCTGAAAGTAGTCTCCAATTTAGATTTCAGGTGTTCACATTGAAACACTGCCACACTACTTTTTATTTGTTTATTTACTTTTTTTAGCTTATCAAAGTTACACTTAATTCTGTCTTTAATTTGTGGAATTAGTCTGTTTTCATAATCTTACTGGACTATTTTAGGTCTTAAAAAGCATATTCAGAAAGTTTGATTAAGTCATATCATTAGTGCGTAGTGGTTATACTCCAGTATTCCGTACTGTAATTAGGGGATTTCTGCAAGTACTTCAGAAGTTAAGATATCCTTTTTATTAAGTGGTTTGCTGCTGTTGTTGTTGCTATTTTGTTTTCAGTGCTAGGAATCAAACCCAGGTATACTCTACTACTAAGCTACATCCTAATTTTTATTTTGAGACAAAGTCTCACTAATTTTGTCCAGAGTGGACTTTTAACTTGTGATTTTCCTACCTGAGCTTCCCAAGTAGATGGGAATACAGGTGTGCCACTGCACCTAGCATTTATTAAGTATTATTGATATGCATTTCTAAGAGTTATAGAGGGAGCTTTAGGAATAGAATTACATCTTGATCTTTATAAACCTCAACTTAGAAAAATAATTAGGAAAGGTCTTACAGTGATTTGTAACTCTTGAATCAATGATTCCTACCTCAAGAAGTGATACTAAGTAAACTTTTGCTTGTCTTTTCTGTGTCTGTGGTCCTTTCTCATCACATAACAGGTTTGGGGATTATTTTTGATAAAACTTCCTTACTGGTGTGAACCTTTTCATGTAATATTTGTTGGGAACTGACATTTCCATATATTTTAAAATCAGATGTTTGTATTTATATATATCTACCTCCTAATCTAAAAAGAATTCATTGCCAATATTTCATTATAATTCTATAAATATTTAGTTTTAATGTATAAAGGTGTTTTATTAAATAAGGAATATAGAAAGGAAACCACTAAGATCATTAAAATGAGAATCTGATTGATAATGAATCATAATCAGTAAATTCAAAAATTTGGAAGCAGCTTACTATGAAAATCTATGCAGTACTGAGATGAAATCTAATAAATCTAGGCAATACATTTTAGGCCATATGTTCTCAAATGTTAGCTACAATTTGAGAGCTCTTAAAATTGTCCTTGCCCAGCTGCGCATGGTGGTGTACACCTGTAATCCCAGAGGCTCTGGAAGCTGAGGTAGAAAGAAGGTTTGCAAGTTCAAAGCCAGCCTCAGTAACTTAGTGAAATCCTAAGTAATTTAGCGAGACCCTGTCTTTAACTAAAATATTTTTTTAAAAAAGGCTGGGGATGTTGTTCAGTGGTTAAGCAATCCTGGGTTTAATCCTGGATACCAAGAAAATGAAAATAAAAGGATTGGGGAAGTGGCTCCGTGGTTAATCGTCCTTGGTACCAAAAAACAAAACAAACAACAAATTAAACCACCTCCATGCCCAGACTTCACCCCAGTCTAATTAAGTAACTTTTCACCCCCTAGAATGCTGAGGTTTATATTTTAGTTTGCTTTACAGTTACTCAGATGATTCCTCTAGGCATCAAAAGTGTGAACCACTGAAAGGCTGGGATTGTGGCTCAGTAGTAGAGAACTTGTCTAGCATATGTCAAGCACTGAGTTCAATCCTCAGCACCACATGAAAGAAATAAATAAAGGCATCATGTCCATCTATAACTAAAACACACACACACACGCACACATGCACGCACACACACACACGCCACTGATTCAAAACTTAGTATTTAAAAATGAAGTCCATGGACAAACAGCATCTATGAGAATTAAACTAGAATCCAGAATTCTAGTCTAGACGTCCAACTTAGAATATACTTGTACCAACATCTCCAGGTGATTGCTGTACATAATAAATATACATAATAAATATAGAGACAATACTTTAGTATCCAGCGGTAGGAAATCTCTGGCTGAGGTCACCAGCCATAGAAAAAAAACAAATTTCAGTTTTAAGGTCTTTCAAAACAGATAGCTATCCATACTCAAGGATCCAACCCCTAAATATAAGCATATTGTTATGTATATGAAGTATTGATTTAAAACTTAAATTTGTGTGTGTGTTGGGAGTGTTAATCAGAGATTCAACCCAAGGGTGCTCTACCACTAAGCTACAATCACAGACCTTTTTTTTTGGAAAAAGAATCTTTCTGAGTTGCACAGGCTAGTCTCAATTTTGTGATCCTCCTGCCTCAGCCTCCTGAGTTGCTAGGATTACCATCATGAGCCACCATGTCTGGCTAATTCCTATTTTCAGAAGGTCACACTTTATATTATTACCAAGAGTATAATTCTTAATGAGTGATGGGGGAAATATCAACATAATGATAAAAGCAAATGGCATTAAAAATTCTAGTAATTTGACTTTACAAAAAATCAAAATGAACCATCAGTCAGTATAATCCCAACTTCTGTTCATTAATATTGAGGAATATTCAATAAAGTGTTCAATAACAACCTTTTCTAAAGTTGTACTGTAAATTTCTATCTGGTTTTAGTGTGCATAAAGATTTGCTACCCTCACCCAGACTCAATAAATTAGAAAATGCAGATCTTTTTTGCTTTATTTTGAATATAACATCAAATTATATTTTGCTATTCCTGGTTCCCCATTTATATGTTAAGTACCTTGCTAATTTTATGACTGGGTTTTACTTTCATTATCCCTTTATAAGCAACTTGGATCTTTTTCCTGTCATATGTGGTTGAATAGCTTTATAAAGCTGATTTTGCTTTTTTGTCTTACTTTCAGTCACTAAATTTAGTTTCCTTTTTTTTGTCCTCGTACCATTTCTCAACTTTAAATTATCCTTAATAGAAGTGACTCATAATTACTGCAATTCATATATTTTGGAATTAAAAGTTTCTATTGCAAAAAACAAGTATACAGATAAAATGGTATGTGCACAGATCCTCCATAATAGAAGCCCTTAGTTGGAGAAGGGTAACGGTGGCTTTAAATCATATGGATTTCCTCACAGATATGACTGTTTATTCTTAGTATCAGAATATATTAGATCTCAAGTTGAAGGAGAGTTTCTAAGGGTTTGAGGAGAGGATATTTTTTGTCTTATAGGATGTCCATATTTATTTACATCAGTCATTAAGAGTGATACGTTTAATTCTATTCACTTTTTTTAGCTTCTGCTTTGAACCATTCACTAGGCTGCACTTGAAAAAGAGAAACATTAATCAAATCAGTCACAAGTAATTTGTAAAAAGTGTATAAAAGAGCAATGTTGAGAGGGTGGTCATTTTTAGGAGGAATTTTATAGAGAACCAATAAGCTTACCTACAATGGTGAGAGGAAACTTGGGGAAGTCATGTGAGAAGACTGGGAGAACAGTTGTCATACAATAAGGAGTTTGAGTTTGACCATGCTGAGAAACAACTGTTATGTTTAAGCAAGAGAATGTTATGATAAACTTCATTTCAAAAGTATCACTGTTTTTCAACATCAAGAATTGACTGGAGGAAGTGATACTGGAGTCAGGAAGATTGTTTAAAAGACTATACATTTAAAAATTTGAGAGAAAGTCAGAGATTTAGAGACCTTATAGTCTATTTTGATTTGGGGGATGTATTTAATTCCAAAATATCTGAAACTGAGACATGGGACAATATCTTCCAGGCAGCAAATAGAAGAGAAAAATGTCTTGGCAATAACAGTGCCTGGTTATGCCCAATATTAATACCATTGCCCCAACTCTGAGCATGGAATAAACTATTATAATAAAAGTAAATATGTGTTTAAGTACAAGTTCCTGTGGGAGGGCTTTAAAATGCATGTTGAATCTTCCAAGAACCTCATGAGGAAGATATTATTATTATTACTATTTTCAGATGAGAAAACTAAAATTAAAATAGATAGAATAATTTGTTCAAAGTCATTGCTAGTGAGTGTAATGAAGTTCCCTAACAATCTACTCCCTTAAAAAATCTAAGAATGCCATTCCTTTTCTCAGTTTTCAGTTTGGAATAGGTCAAATGTGTGCCTAGAAAATTATTGATAAATTATTTGATAACAAGAAATTTTGTATAATTAGCCAAGGTTTAATTAATTATTTTGTGTGTTTTACTTATCTCATTGTCATTTAGTTGTCTTTTGTGCAAAATCAGGAACTCTATCTTGACACTCTGTCTAGAACATACTGAGTATTAGAAAGTATTGGTAAAATGTATATTAAAGCAAGCACCTCAGGCTGGGGATATGGCTCAGTTTGTAGAGTGCTTACCTCACATGCATAAGGCCTGCTTTTATCCAACATCTACTTATTGTTATTTTGAATCTAGTTTTAGCAAGCTTAATTTTTAACAATTTTTAAACCTACAATATTAAGTCATACAACAAACATTTATTAACTAAGCACCTTAAGTGGCTTCAACTGTGATATCCTGGGGTATACAAAGATAAATTTGGAAACTTTTTCCTTCCTATAGTCAGCAAATTTGATATTTGGGA